TTGAGTGTGGAATTGAGATATTTAGCCAATTTTTGCAGTTTCCTCATTGATATTACTGATGATAGGAATAAGTGGAGCGCCACTTTTACATTTTATACTAATCCATGTATTCTAGATGTATTGTAGTTAGGGTTAATTAGTTTAATTTCGTGTAATAAGAAAGTTTTAAAGTTAATACCAAAGTTCTATTGCATAAAATATAGACATCAAAGCAAGGTAAATCTAAAAATGTCCTTAATGATTTATAATTTACTTATTTAAATTAGTGATATTAAGTAGTTGTATCCAAAGACTGTGTAATTTTATGTGGAAATCTCCTGCTGGAAGGTTATGTAATTCTATATTATTATATTTTTTCCATTATTCCTAAGAATTACTGCTAATATTATCATTTATATTATTTATCTTCTTCTTTTTTATATATTGTTAATAATGTTGTCAAAATAAAATTTCAATGTTGTAACAATATTAGGATTTGAACTATATATTATCATTCGGATTTGGACTCTGCCTTTTTCCCTCTCCTACTCTCTAATACGGTGTTGGGTTAAGATAAAATTTTGTATAATAGCTCATTACAAAGAAGACAAAATGGTAAACATTTCCATCTGTTACAGTATACAGGTCCGATTTTTAGTATCTGAAATATTTTAATCCATATATTCAGCTAACCTCGTTATCATTTGGTTTTCGACACTGTTTTTTACTTTTCCGCCTTCCTAACACGGCTTCACTTTAAGATACAATTTTGAATTATAGCGTATTACATAGTGGATGAAATGCTGAACAATTGCCCACACAGTATGCAGATCCAATTTTTAGTTTCTAAAATATTTTAAACCATACGTAAAATTAAAACATTTCAATTAATCGACTATAGCCGATTTTATCCGAGCGTTAAAATCTGCCGGATCAATCTAATTCACTCTCCACAAAGAAGTGCAATACGCGCCCTAAATAAGTTTTCACTTAAAAAAACGTTTAACTCTCAGCAGCTCTAAGTCATAAGATTTAACAATTTAGTCATTTAAGGGGGCAAGGGAGGATACAAGCCATAAGTATATAATTTAGTTATTTATTTTTAAAAAAATATAAAACTGTTTTATTTGATGAATTTTTTAGTAAAATGAAACGTATCATCATGTTGAGATGATTTGATGAAGATTGAATTCCATCAGGCAAAGAGGGAAAACGGCCAGAACCTCAAAAACCTGAAAATAAAAATCACTGCAAATTATTACACAATAGTCTACTATTTACAAATAGTAATATACCAAAATATCTGGCCGATATCATTTGAATATATGTATCGCTTTTGGCGAAGTTTATCATAGATATTGTTAGTTAAAATTCGTTCTAAGCTTGATCATATTCATTTAATCTCAATAGTCCTATAATGATTTTTTTAATTATTTAAGTATATAAATAGTTAAATTATTTTTCATATAACCATATGAAATGTTCCGCCAGATGTAGTTAAAAAAAAATAAATTATGGTAAGCACAGAATTTTCATGCACAGAAAATATTTTAAAGTAATATAAAACATGTTTTAAAAGTTCTTTAGCTGGTATGTTTCTATATTTTTTGTTATTAATTTGATTTCCTCTTCAAATGAAACATTTTATCAAAATATATTTCTATGTTAAGCACAAACAAATTTTATATTATTTCATAATCTTTTTCCTCCTTTTCGGGGATGTGCAAGGAATGAACTAGAATTTTATTTTTAATGGTTTTTACTTAAAATTCCAAAGCAGCTTATATAAAACATGATACGCCGCCATTTTGAAACGAAGTGGTGGATGGTCATGTCGATAACCATAGATTACTCTGTAGTTTGGAAAAATCAAATGTGCTATTTTTTGTCACTTACTTAGTTCAATAGTAAAAAATAATTAACTATAATACGTAATTAGAATAAAAACGTTAATAAAATAAAATTATATATTTAAAAAGTTCACGGTAGTAATGTAGCTTAAGTGAGTATGATCGGTGGAAACTACTTGAAAGTTCCTCCCGACTAAGTTCGTTCGACTTCCTGACCTATGGATGCGACACCCAAGGTGTTCTGGATAATTTTAAGATAAACTGGAGTCGGTCAACGATAAACTACCAAGAAAATGCATACAAAAAAGTGTCAAATATATTTTCCGATTTACTATCCGTATCTATATGTATATATATGGTGGCATGCAAGAAAAATTGTTAAAAGATCCAGATTTAATCAAAGTAATATCTATTTATAACTTTAAAAGTAAAACAATACATAGGAAAATACTGCAAACGTTTTAAATATCTTGATTGGAGAATACTATATTTATGTTACAAATAAATCTATTATTTTATTTTATTGCCAAAACAAGTGAAATGGGTCGGGACTGAATGGATACTACGATTATGGTAGTGTACTGATGGAATGATGTTCCTGGTGTCCCTTTTATGTTTCATCTTCGATCCAAAATCTTCTCCTGGAATAAACATATTGAAAAACAAACAGAACAGGCTTCAACACGACTTTCGTTAATACAGACGTTAGGTGGCTCAAAACAGGGAGCAACGGGGGATGTTATAGCACTTGCCTACAAAACATATGTCCGCCCTGTTATTGAATATGGAGGAGAACTTGTTATCACTGCTTCGGACGCGATATTACACAAGCTCGACATAATCCAGAATCAAGCCATTAGACTCGTGACAGGAGGGAGCAGAACGACTCCAATATCTGCGCTAGAATTACAAACAGGCAGTACCTCTTGAGACACACCGGGAGCAACTGGCCATTACGCTCTATGAAAGGCTAAAACGTCTTAAGATCAGCTACTGGAGTACCTATGAACCCGCACCTGAACGCCTTAAAACACAAATTGCTTTTACTAAGGCAGTGGAAGCTTTGATACAAAGAAAAGGACTAGAACTAGCTGAAAGGGAGTCTCTCCCGTCATTGATACAAGTTCCATTCATGAGCCAATTTATTCAGAACGTTTCTAAGGGTTCAACACCAATTCACCAACTAAACGCTATAACCCATCGGAAAACGATTCTCAGAAACAGAATGGCTCCATGAATATACTAATAGTTCTGGGCTGAAAGCAAGCAAACATGCCAGAGCTGGAGGTTATTCAAAGAAGTTTCATCTTGTCACCCAGGTCAGCAATATAGCCACAAAGTTTGAAGGAAGAAAAAGACATTCTCTTGGGCCTTGAGAGATTAGTTGAACAGAAACACAAGAACTTTCTTTGTTGATTCACAGGCAGCCATTTTGTCTCTTCAAAATGGATATAATATGAATCCAAATGTCCTTCAATGCGATCTGTATTTGTACCGATTAAAGGAAAATGGGACAGAAGTCGCTTTCCAGTGGATACCAGGCCATTGGGGGCTCCAAGGAAATGGTGAAGCTGACAAACTGGTCAAACTAGATTCTGGAATGATCCAACCAGATATTCCTCTTGTCATGGATTCAACGAAAATTATAATAAAACAGAACCTCTAAAGCCGTGGCATGCTTCAGAATGCTCACAGGGCATGATTTCCTTCAGAAGCATCTCCACGGCATCGGAATAAAAGATAGCCCGACATGGCCTCTGTGTTCCTTGGATATTATTACAGGAGAACATCTTGATACAAGCCATAAGATATTCCTTCTACTAAACAGCATTCATACCACTAGTATGTCATGTACTGCAACCAAAGGTTACTGCAACCACAAACATGGAATTTATCATTTTGACATGATGTAATGTATATATAAATAAATAAAATTAAAATAAAAACTTATGTAGGTTTTTTATGAGGGATGATATTCCTTTAGTGAATCCAGCCTTTGTGCTATGAGAGCAAAATTATATTGAACTGCAAGAGCATGGCTGATCAAGCAGGCTTTACTAAGGCCTATAAAGAAAAAAAAATATAGTATTTTTAAAAATAAAGTATTGCATAAACTATAAAGACAGAAGGACGATTTAATCGGAAATATGGGCGAAAATAGCTTTACGCCACCTAATCGCTTTAACTGTTCTGAATGTATATAACTGAGACGATAGCTAACCGGTGATCAAAATGGATGTGTAAAAGTGGTGAGCTTATTGGCTAATAGATGAATAAAATAAGTAATGGTCTTGTGCCGTCTAGTTATAGTTACATTAGTACCGGTACTGGTACTGGAGGGGGAACTAGTCCGGCATGTGGGCCTTGTGCTTCATTTCGCCAACCCTTGACGTCTAACTAATTAGTGGTTGTCACGGAGTATTAACCAAAGTCAGGGTTTCCACATAATAAATATCAACCGACCTGGGGGGAAGGGAGAATCGAACCCACAACATTCACAATCGAGCTCTCTGATCCATGTCTCTATTTGCTCGACTAATGTCCTGGCGTCCAAAGGGTAAGGCTGATCTTATGGGATTGGGTTTGGGCGGGGTCCGGTCTGTAGACAGTGATTGGTTGCATCGACATCGTATCTTTGGGTTCGCTAAGCCTTTATTATAATAATGAAAAACTCCAAAAATGTTAAAAGCGAACATTATAACATTACGAATCATAAAAGAAGGAAATGGTACGGGGTGGCAGTCATAAATAGTGGCAAAACTATTTTATTAAAAGCCAACGTTTCGACCCGACTTTGTAGGTCTTCTTCAGGAAGGAGTGTTCAGAAAGGAGTATCACTTAGAACTCAGTAAAGTCGGGTCGAAACGTTGGCTTTTAATAAAATAGTTTCGCAACTATTCAGTCTATTTATGACCGCCACCCCGGACCATCTCCTTCCTTAATACAACGGTCAAATTAAATATTAAATATTCAAAACATAGAATTATAGGTTGTAATATTTTATTCTAAATTGTTTTCCATCACTGTTTGTCTGGAACAGCTAGGAAGATGTTAGATAAGGCTAACTATTATTGTTATCTATACAATCAAATTTAATTAATTCAGGCTGCATCTGCTTATAGAAAAAGGATTACACAACTTAAACATTTACGTTTAAAAAAAAATATGTAATTACCAATTCCATATACTTGAGTGACGACGCTTCTTGCAACGACGCTTCTTGCAACGACGCTTACTATGTTTCCTGTTATTTTTAATCTTTTTAGTTGCAATGAAAAAGGTAGGTGTTTTTATCCTGGGTAGAGCTGTTGAAATTTTGCTTAATATAGTCACCGGAGTTGTAGTGATTGTCAAAACATCTGTGGGTGCTGTACTCGTGGGGGTAATTCTGATAAATGTTATCGTTGGAATAGTTTTAGTGGATGTGAGAACTTTGTGTTCTACTTTAGCTTTGTTCCATAAAATACTTCTTACAACGGTGTTAAGGCCCTCTATCTCTGTTTTGCCGTGATCTTGTTCAAAACTTCTATATGTCGTAGGAGTAGTTGTGGTTGCAGTAATATTGGAGATAGATGTCGAGGGGATGGTTGTAGTTCTGGTAGTTGTGGTTGTGATAATTGTAGGAATTGTTGTGGTTATGGTATTCGTAGGGGTAGTTGTGGTTGTGTGAGTCGAGAGGATGGTACTGGTTATGAAAGACGTACGGATAGTTGTGTTTGTAGTAGTTGTAGGCGTAGTTGAGGTAGTCGAGCGCGTAATTCTCATTTTGGTAGTCGTAGGACTAACTTTGGTTATGGTGGTAGTCGAAGAAGTATTTATAGTCGGAGTAGTTGTGCTTGTAGTATTCGTAGTAGCTATGGTAGTCGAGAGAGCATTTGTGGTTGTGTTAGTAGTAGTAGTAGAGATAATTGTGGTAGTCGAAGGAGTTGTGGTTGTGGTGATCATAGGGGTAGGTGTAAGTGTGGAAGTCAATTCGGCTGTAGTTGTGATAGCGGTATTCGTGGGTGTGGTTCCGGTAGTAGTAGAAGTTGGTGAGGGTGTGGTAGTGGTAGTCGTGGGGGTAGTTGTGGTTGTACTAGTCGTAGGTATAGTTGTGGTTATGGTATTCGTAGAGGTAGTTGTGATTGTGTTAGTCGAGAGGATGGTACTGGTTATGAAAGACGTACGGATAGTTGTGTTTGTAGTATTAGTTGAGGTAGTCGAGCGCCTAATTCTCATTTTGGTAGTTGTAGGACTAACTGTGGTTATGGTGGTAGTCGAAGAAGTATTTATAGTCGGAGTAGTTGTGCTTGTAGTGTTCGTAGTAGCTATGGTAGTCGAGAGAGCATTTGTGGTTGTGTTAGTAGAAGTCGTAGAGATAATCGTGGTAGTCGAAGGAGTTGTGGTTGTGGTGATCATAGGAGTAGGTGAAAGTGTGGAAGTAGATTTGGCTGTAGTTGTGATAGTGGTATTCGTGGGTGTGGTTCCGGTAGTAGTAGAAGTTGGTGTGGGTGTGGTAGTGGTATTCGTGGGGGTAGTTGTGGTTGTACTAGTCGTAGGGATAGTTGTGATTGTCGTAGAGGTAATCATTGGGATATCTGTGGTGGTTGTAGTCTTGATTGTTGTTTTGGTTGTGGTACTCGTAGGAGTAGTTATGGTAAATGTTGGGTCAGTTGTGATTGTGATAGTCGGAGGGGTTGTAGTAGTAGTTGTAGTGATGGTAGGCGTGAAAATGTTTTGTTTAGCAATGGTTGTATTCGTTAGGGTAGTAGTGATTTTAGTAGACTTGGGTGTGGATTTGGTGGCATTTATGGTTGAAGACATTATTGCTATTGTTCTAGTCGAGGGTGTAGTTATGGTTGTTATAGTCGATGGTGTAGTTGTGGTGGTTAATTTTGTAGTTGGCGTATTTTCTTCTTCTTCTTCGTTTTCTTCGGTCTCGGTACTATATGAGTCTACTGTATAAAAATCTGCGTCCCAATTTCCTTTGATTTCTTTTTTTTTATTGGTAGCTGCACGGTGACGATCAACTTTTCTAATATTAACAGTCTGATCTGATTTCTTAATAACCGCAGATAATAGACTAAAGCTGTTTTTTTTACATTCTACAACCATTTCAAAAGTTTTAGAGATCATCTTTATCGTTTTAAATTTCAGGAATTTCAATTTGACTGTATATCTTATCTCACGACGTGGCGTATCTTCATGAAACAGCACCAAGAATGTTAATGGAACTCCTGGTTTAAAGCTGTATCCTTTTGAAGTCTTAAAGATTCCAGGAGGGCATTCTATCACGCACTCAGATCCTATGGGTCTTGATATGCAAACCCCGTCCGTACTGTTACATCTCGGGGAACACTCTGCTACTTTGCAATGAACTCCTTCGTCGGACCAGTCACCACAGTTATTGTACCCATCACATATCTGTTGCAGATCGACACACTCCATATTGCTGCATAAGAACTTTCCTTCCTTTTCAAAAATCGAACGATACTGCGGTCTCACTATGCTAATTTGTTGACATCCTGCCTCGTCTGTTCCGTCTCCACAGTCATCAACGCCATTAAACTTCTTATCATACTTAATACAGTGAAAATTTTTACAGCGAAATTCAAAGCACTGCCTTCCACAATCAGGAGGTTCATCGCTACAATCTGTGCAATCACATATACCGTTACAAAACAAATTTCTTCTAATGCATTTACCATATTTACAACTAAACTGATGAGTAGGACAAATTGTTCTTTTACTTATTGAGTGGTTCATATAATTATTAATGTTCTGGCACATTCTGTGTAGTATGCAATTAAAGGAATTTAGAATCGATCTTAACCAAGCGTTTGTTTTATTCAAGCAGTTTTTATCTCGAATTACACAACTTCGAAATATTCTCTCTGCGAACCATTCATAAATATCAATTAAAGATATAATTTTATTTAACATCTGCCTCGTTTTAATATGTCTTCTCCGTAAAGGAATCAGTAATTGATTAATTCGATTTGCGAAGGAATCTCTAAAATTTTTTTCCTCAATGAATTTTGCATAACGATGATCATTAGAGGATCTCAGCTTAGTTATACTCTCTATTAATTTATTATTTGAGTATATATTGCTAATAAAAGATTCTATGTTTGGTTTAGAAATATCTAAAATATTTTTATTCGACGAGGTTTTATTTAGCGAAACAGTCAAAAATCCCTCAAGGTACTCCTTGAAATTCCTTACTTCTTTCCATTGAAAACACCAGCACCCGACCTGTAACAAATAGTTTGAATACTTTAAATTCTTTAATAATTTCTAGCTTTACAATAGATATAACATTTCAATTCTCACACTGTATGAAAGTATTCCTATACATGTAACTGGTTAATTTTTTTTTTAATGTAATTTGTCTTACTGAATTTAATTGAAAAATAAATTTGGTAGTTGGAGGAATGTAAAGTATTTTATATATATTTTATTTTATTTTTCTTATTATTTTTTTCTCTAGTTCCTTTCCAAATTCAAACCAATTTTAAATCAACTAAATACATAGATTTAGTAAAAAAAAAAAAACAATGGTAATCTTGGATATTGCCTGCAATCCTAAGATTAAAATAAAAATAGTTATAAATTAAAATACTCTAGTTATCATCTGAATATCAGGTTATCTTATCCTAACTTAGGTATATTGAATCAATTTCTATCAATTATGATGTATTATAGAATAATATAAGTAGAATTTTAGAAAAATAAATAGACCTTGATGTCTTAATAATGTAGTATTTTTTCTGTAATCAGCGCTTTTTTTCCCCTCCATAGTTGGAGAGACAAGCCTGCCTCGGAGTTCCGTTGAGTTTTTTGCTTTGTTTTAATTTTCTTATTTTTAAGTTATTTTATTTGTTCTATATACTTTTTGATTATTATTTATTGTTATTTTACTTCTACTTAGTTTATATATATATATATATATATATATATATATATATATATATATATATATATATATATATATATTGTACATATAGTGTGAATGTTGTTCTACCTCACTATAAGTAATATCCAAGTGACAGATTGTTCTAATACTCAATAAATAAAAAAATAATAAATTAAATCAGTGCTTTAACGTTATTCATAATACTAAACTTATTTTTCAATTTGCTATATATCATTAAACATATTTGTTGAGTTCTCAAAGTAATGTTTAGATGAGTAATTTGTTGGTGTGAGTAAAATAAATTCGGAAATAAGTTATTTCTTAATAAATACTAAAATTTCTTATTGTCATAGGATAAATTATTACTCAAGTGAGACTAGATTTTCTTTTTTCATTTCGAAACTTATCTTGCGCCAATGACCTTCAAGGTCTTACTGTAATCAAAATGTTCTTTGTATTCAGTCCTAATAATAAATACATAAATCAGATGCAGTAACCTGCGAGTTTAGTAATTATCTGGACAATTTAGTGAAGAAAGCTGTAAGAAAAATTGGCTAGATAATAACCATATTACACACCATATTTAAAAATTCGCACAGCATATTGTTATCAAATGTCTAATTAATAAGAAAATAAAATAATGCAACGCATCAAAATATAAAGGAATCAATTGTTACTTTATTGATAAATATAATCGACAAAAGAAACAAAATTAATTTAAATCTTCATTTTTGTTTGGAACCAATGTATTTACAAATTTACAAATCCTTTTGTAGAGAATTTAGTAATGTTTTATATAATTATGGGCATAACAAAGGGAAAAGTGTGTGTTTTTTTTAGTTATTCGCAAATAAAGTTGTTTGCCTGAATTTTCGGGATGATTGGACTATTTTTCCCGCCTGAAGGAGAACGAAGCCTTCAAAATTGGTGATTGAGATTTGGTGAAGAATTAACGATGATGTAGCTTGCCGATCAAAAACACCATCGCTAAATAATATAAACTCCTACTCTCTCGATCATAGAGACCTTAAGTCGACGACATGAGACATGTATCCAATTATAGTACTACAATTAACGTCAGGTTGTGTGGATGCGAACTCCATGCCTTGCTTTATCTCGAAAATAGTACGTTTTTGGGCTTCAAAACGCAGGATCCGATAGTTCCGCAGGAACTATGCGGGTCTTGCTGTACACATCAAAATCTTCAAGGTCCAATTTGTCCCGCATCGATCTACAGACCTACCACCGTTCCAGTATTGAAGCCTAGCGAAATGTTTGTATCGACTTTATTTATTTTAGAAAGAAAAACAAAAGTGAAGAATACGATTCGCTAACCCCCTGTGAAATTCTGAATCCAACGGCACCCCATTCATGATAATTGAGCATGGTATATGGAGCTTATATTTTGTACAAAACTGATATCGAGCCTTACTGTAATAATATATGTGGGGATAAATTAATTCATAATATAATTTATTCCTTTTCTTAATAGAAAACTGGATGAAAAGTATAGAAAAAATAAACTTTAAGAAATCGCAAAACAATTGACGTATTAGAACAAATATAAATATATTCTTCCAGACTCAAGTTAAATGCAAGTTCTATTATCGCAGAAAAAATAACAACTACATCGAACTATTCCCTTTATTGTTTTCTTCTCCACTCATAGTTTATTATAATTATAATTTGACTGAATGCCATGATTTTTTCTTGTTAGACGATCAAGATATTCTGGGTTAGCTGGCATTAAATTAGAAAGCATGAATTCCAAATCCGGTGAGCTTAAGCATATACTTCGTGAAATATTGTTCAGACATCTCTCCTTAATGGTAAAATATATTTGAACAGCAGTATTCTTCCTGGACTCGATGTAGTCAAACCCATACTCACAAAACCCATGAAGAAAGTTACATTTAATCTACCTCCAGCTCATAGATTCAACATTCGCGACTAAGTTTTAGATCGCTGGTACTCCAATAATTCATGAAAGTTAGGTAAGATTATTTAAGTCATTGGAAGTGTGCACTACCAAATCCAGATCAAAAATAGTTACTCTTTAAAACGGCATGTTCACATTAGGTGAACCTAGAGGAAACATTCTTGCATTCTTAGATTAGCAAGAATCAGAGGCGGAATCGTTGAGCGGGCTAACATGTGAGCCAGAAGCAGCCGGTGACAAACCAAAGTTTGTATGTTCAAATCGCGGAGCCAGGGGGCTTTTAACTCTGGCATTAATCCTCGCCTTCACCCCTGGCCTGGAGAAAACTCAGCTACTGAAGCTTTTGTTCCACGATATCCCTAAGTATCATAAGCTTCCCCAACCGGAATTCTTCGATGTTTAGGACCTTAACGCTATCCTCCAGACAGTTATTTCCAGAGATAATGCTATTTCTTAAGTACCTCATAGTTCAAGGTTTCAAAATTTAGCTATCACATAACCGGGGAGAGTATTGTATACGTATCTACATTTAAAAAATTTAAATCACATGTTTTATAATTATATATATGTATATATATATATATATATATATATATATATATATATATATATATATATATATATATATATATATATGTATTTTCCATTCTATTCCTTACTTACATTCATAACGCCGTACTCCGCTCCACATATTTTCCTGAGCCTTCGAAACTATCTGTAGTCAAAATGATACATAAACCAAAAAAGCCACCAGAATACCCATTCTCTTACCGTCCTATCTCATGGGCAAAATCCTGGAGAAGCTCATCTGAAAACGCCTGTATCCCATCCTAGATTCTAACCACATAATCCCTGATCACCAATTTGGATTCCGCACATCCCATTCCACTATCCAGCAATGTCATCGTGTGGTAGACGTCGTCTTCTCTGCATTCGAGCGCAGAATGCATTGCACTGGAATTTTTCTCGACGTTGAACAGGCGTTTGATCGAGTCCGGATTGCTCGGACCAGCATCCGGGATTGCTTTACAAACTCCGTAAATTCCTTTCCCCTACATATTTTCTTATCATCATTTCCTATCTTACTGATAGGCACTTCAAAGTAAATCACAATAATACCTATTCATCCCTCTTTTCTCAATCTGCCGGAGTTCCTCAAGGTAGTATCCTTGGTCCTATCCTTTACACAGTTTACACAGCTGACATCCCAACCCATCCTAACACTGTTATTACCACGTATGCCGATGATACATGTGTCCTATCCGTTAATAATGACCCAACCATTGCATCCCAAACTCTTCAATCACACATCACAAGCCTTGAAGAATGGTGTCAAAACTGGAGCATTAAAATAAATTCTAATAAATCCCATCAAATCACCTTTACCCTTCGACGTAAACTTATGACCTCATGTCCCACAGTATCCTTTAATAATACCCCACTTATCTCTGTTGAACAAATCCGATACCTTGGACTTCACTTGGACAAACGTCTAACTTGGAATCCTCATACCAGACTGAAACGACAAGAAACCGCCCGACGTTTCCGACTACTCCAACACTTACTAGACAAACGCTCTAAACTTCCCATTAA